TTTGGCAACTCTTACATCGTTATCTTTGATTTGTTGAAAATGATCATTGAACTCATAAATTCTATATGCTTTAGCTGCAGAATAATAATGGTGAAGCAAATCTCCGCAATGAAAATTTTTGCGAAGATTTTCAGCAAGGTGCCTCATGCAAAATCCGTGATGAGCCTAAGGGTAAAATTTTGAGATCCCATTTGCTATGCTTATGTGCCTATCAGAAATTATACACAACTCAACATTGTCGGGGTGTATGCTAGACAATTGTTCAAAAAAATATTCATATATGGCATCACACTCGTAGTCTACTACACAAAATGCCACAAGAAAAATATGGTTCTCTGAATCTTGTGCCACGACAGACAACAACACTCTACGATACTTTCCCGTCAAAAACGTCCCATCAACAGCTATGACTTTCCTCATAAACAAAAATCCCTGAATCCAAGCTTCATAAGCTACAAAGAAATACTGAAACTTCCCTTTGTTATCAAGCTTCAGTGCCATCTTGCTTCCTTCATTTGCCTTCCTAAGCGCGTAGCGGTACGCATCTAAAATTTCATACTCGTGCTCTGGAGTCCCCCTTACCATAAACTTTGCAATATGACCTCCCTTCATACACTTCCAATAACTAACATTACAACCCAAATCCAAACGAACTGTTTCCATATTTTCTTTGTTAGATGGACCCTTGCCGTCTTCAAACTTAGAATGGATGTATTCACCAATGACATCCGCTGAGGCGTGTGGATGCTTTTCTGTAAAATGTTGTGACCACCATGTGTGCTCATTCTTGTACCTCATAATATAAAACCTATCAGTACTTATATATTTGACGGCTCACAACCACCACTTGCAATTATTTTCTACACATTTGACGCAGTACACAAATTTAGTACTCTTCACTGATTTGAAACTGAAGGAGCCTTTAAGGAAGCAAGCTTCAATGACACAACTAGCTCGCGCTTGTTTTTGAAACTTAAACCCTTATAAAACTTCGTGCCATCTTCATAATTGTGGCTGCTTTGTGTTGTCGGTTCTACCTCTTGTGAGTTGCTTTCAACTCCAGGAAAGTTTGCATATTCTTCTTCTTCGGTTTCTGGTATATCCATATCCAAAGGATCCATTTTTGGAATATCGCTATTCAAAAGATCTTCTTCAATATCATCCAATCCATGGCTATCATGTTGTTCCATTTGAGGTGAATTTGGAAATTCTACCAATCTTTCAACCACAGATACCCTTAGAATAGGCTTATTTTCATCTTCCAAATAATAGCTCAAACAATCATAATTCTTTATTTTAAAGGGAGCTACTTCAGTGTGCTTTTCACCAATGCTATGCATGTAAGTTATGGACATATCACTCGGATAACAAGTTAATTCACAACCAGCAATAATCTTGTCAACAAACTCATCATACGTAACATCTCTATGCACCTATATTAGAACCGTCTCTTTACTCTTCGAACGCTAAGTAAAACGTGTAGAAAACTCCACCCATTCACCATGACAATTAACTCCCAATACAATATAATCAACCATTTTGTAATGGAATACCTGCAAATATCACAAGTATATAAAGAATTGGTATAAAGAATCAATTTTTTGCAAACATCCGAATAATGTTTCAAACTTTCTAAGAAGATGTTTAAAACATCTTGAGAATATACTTAGGATGTTTGAAATATCCTGAGAGGATGTTTGAAATATCCTGAATGGACTTTCAGGATGTTTGAAACAATTACCTACAATTATATAAGGATGTTTTAAACATCTCACAGAATGTTTTAAACATCTCACAAAATATTTTAAACATCTCACTGGATGTTTGAAACATCCTATGAGATGTTTGAAATATCTCGTCAAACATCTCACCGGATGTTTGAAACATCTCACAGTATGTTTAAAGAATCACAAAAACCTGATATCTGTAGACGAGAAAAATAAGATTAAACATCAATCTTTACTTACCAATAGTGATGAATAGACTGAATATCTCCCTTGAAATAATGCACAAGTCAATGTAGCAAATCACGATCAAGTGTTTATCAATGGTACAAGGGCCAATCTTCAATTGTTCTTGTTCTTTTTTCACTAATCTTTCTCAACAAAGAACAAGAACCTCAAAGAAGAAGACCTGTGAAAAACAATGTCGGGATTAAAGAAAGAAAAAGAAGAGATTGAACACAGCAGAAGAAAGAAGAAGCAGAAGAAGAACAAGAGAAAAAATGTAGGGTTTTGTGAATTGGGAATGAGGAATGGGGATGGGAGCGGGAATGGGAGTTGGGAAGGGTTTCCGTTTTTTAGAGAGGGTGGGCCCCATTTGGGGCAGTTGTGATAATTGTAAAAGTTTGGATTTTTTTTTAAACCTAGTTATAAAGATTAAACACTAATAATAAAAGTGTCCTTTTTACACCAATCTTAACATTTTTGTCTTATAAATTGCTTTAAGTGTTCAAAGTCCTATAAATTTAAATCCCCCTCCTTACTGCATTAGCCTTGTTCATAACAAAAGAAAACAGAAGCAAATGTAATTTTATAATTTCAATAAATAATAAATAGGGTTGTACAAAGAGAGAAAACACATGATATAGAAAAAATAAAGAAAAAGAGAAGCAATGAAAAGAAAATAGAAAAAGGAAACGCCAAGAGGAAAAGTAAAAGTGGTCTGCTAATATCGATCCTAAGTATTAAATGTGAAAAGGTGGCATTTCAAGCATGGCACATACAGCCAGTTTGTGTCTTGGGGTGCCACTCTTTTAATATAATTGTAACGATCAGACCGGTCGTTTTGAGTATTTCCATCCCCTTCAGCTATTTGAAGTCTTGAGTAGCATCGTTTCATGTATTATGTCTTGTGTGAATCGTCGATTTTGGTTTTCGGGTTTATCGGAATTGATTTGAAAGAGTGAATTCTCAACTAGAAAGCTTTAAATTGGAAGAGTTGACCAACTTTTTTTTTTTAGTATTGGACCTAGGATTGGAGTTTTGATAGTTCCGTTAGCTCCTTTAAGTGATTTGGACTTAGGAGCATATCTGGATTGTGATTTCGAGGTCCGTATTTGAATTTGGCTTGAAATGATGAAAGTTGGATTTTTCAGAAAGTTTGAGCGGGAGTGGACTTTTTGATATCAGATTTGGATTGTTGTTCTGGGAATTTGAGTAGCTTCATTATGTCATTTGGGACTTGCGTGCAAAATTTGGGTTCATTTCGGATTGATTTGCTATGTTTCGACACGAGATATGGAAGTTGAAAAGTTCAAAGTTCATCAAGTTTGAATTTTGGTGCAATTCGTCGTTTCGATATTGTTATATGTGTTTTTAGGTCTCAAGTAGGTCCGTGCTATGTTATGGGACTTGTTGGTATACTTGGACGGGGTCCCAAGGGGCTCGGGCGCGTTTCAGATTATTTTTCTTCATGTTGTTATTGCTAGTTGCTGTTGGTTCTGGTATGACCGCACCTGCGGCTGGTTTGCGCAGGTGCGATGGTCGTAGAAGTGACAAAGGAGTCGTAGGAGCGGAAGTACTGTTGGGAGCAGTAGTTCGCAGAAACGGAGATTTTTTCGCATTTGCGAAGGCGCGGATGGGCTGAGTTCCGCAGTTTGGACTCGCACCTGCGTGTGCACAAATGCAAGCATTTTACTGTAGGTGCGAAGGCAGACCTTCAATTCACAAAAGCGGAATTTTGGTCGCTTTTGCGGCACCACAGATGCGGTTTAAGAGGCCGCAGAAACAGAAGTATTGGGCAGAATGATAAATACAAGGGTTCGCAATTTTGACTTCATTTTAACATTTTCAAGCTCGGATTAAAGCACTTTTTGGAGCAATTTTCATCACAAGAATTGGGGTAAGTATTCTACACTTGGTTTTGATCTTATTCCATGAATTTATCTTCATTTTTGGTAATTGGTTGATGAATTTTAAAGAGAAATTGAGGGTTTTAGCCTAAAGTTTCATAATGTGAATTTTTGAGTTTTGAACATTGACTTGGAGTCGGATTTGAGTGAAACTAGTATGGTTGGACTCGTAATTTAATGAATTGTCGAATTTTATGAGTTTTGTCAGGTTCCGAGGCGTGGGCCCGAGTTGGACTTTTTGATCGATTTTTGGGCTTTGATTAAAGATTCGACTATTGATTGAGTTGTTTTCTTTGACATTATTTGATGTATTTGAGTTGATTTTGGCTAGTTTTGAGTCGTTCGAAGGTCCGTAAGCGTGAGATGGCAATTTTGGAGCATCGCTTGGCTTATCCATCATCTGGTTGTAACATATGAAGGAAGTAACAGGGATTCATCTACGTTTCCCATCGTTTCGGCAAACCTACTCTTTGGAAAACTATGGGACTATCTGTATATAGGTAAAACTAGGGCTAACACACACCCGATTCCAGGTGGGTCAAACAAAGCAGGGACGAGATTACATGTGATCGAAATCGAAGCTGGGAACTTTTCGTACCAAGGCCTAAACAGAGTGCTCGCCATCGAGCCTGAAGACAACACTTCCTTGAACCTAGAATGAGCTCCGAGACCTCGGAAAGCATGTCAATGGTTGCTCACGACTAATGGAGGGTCGTGATAATCTCACCCGATGTCGGTAGTAGATCAGTAATTGACGAGAAAGAAGGATTTTTACCTTTTTTTAGAATTGTACTAGGCAATACAAATTTATTTTCTGCTCTCTAGCTATTGAAAAGTTCTTATTTTACTGTTGTTCTTTACACGCAACTGGCTTCGAATTGAGGGTTCGGTCGAGAGCAGAATTGCTACCTGGCCTTAACATCACAATTGGTTTGATAATTCCTTTGTTTTTAACTCGTTTATCTAACATTCTTGATTGTTTGTGTTGAATCTATCCACATATTCTTAAAATCGCGTATAAATTCAATTGTTATCCGTTTTAAGGGTAAACAATAGTATTATTATAATTTTCATTTATCTATTTTATTTCCATTAATTTGATAATAAGAATTGTGAGAAAAAAACACTTGAGAAAAATAAGAAAGAAGAAATATAAATGGGAGACATTCAGCTTATCAAAATGGAATAGTAATACAACCGCTTTATTTATTACACAACACTGGACTAGAGACTCAAAAAGGGACACAAAAACAAAACAACAGGGACGAAAATATGAAACACAAATTGATCTATAATAATTAAGATCAAAGAAGATAATCCCATCTCTTATTATTCTTCTCCTCATTTTTGCATACTACCAAATTCTGCGGTTGTAAAATTAGATGCTTCATCATCCTTACTCGATCCTGCATCACAAAATCGAACAAGGGCAAATCAATATACAAAATTTAACTACGACACCTATGCAAACAACTTAATTTTAGAAAAAAGTACTTCTGCAAAAAAAAAAGTATTTTTGGCCAGAAAACTTGGCCGAATATGCTATTAAAACCCAAGATAAAGAAACCCTTCGTTCACATGTATGTATTAACTACTATAAAATTGATGAAGTGCATATATTTATTGTAAGATTTTTCAATTTATATTAGTAAAAGTATGCAGTAATATTCAATAGAGAGATCTATAGCTTGTCTGGCCGTGCTTCTTTTTAGCTAAAAGTGATTTTTTTCAAAGTTAAGGTGTTTGGTATAGCTTTTACAAGAAACAAAAGTGCGTTTGAGTATAAGTACAAGCATTTTTTAAGAAGCAATTTTGAAAAGCGTTTTTGAGAAAAATATACTTAAAACACTTTTTAAAAGTTTGAACAAACATTAATGATGTTCAAAAGTACTTTTTAAATTGATTAGCCAAACACACATTGTTTTTCACTAAAAGTACTATTTCAAAATGCACAGAAAAACACTTCTCAAAATAAACCGATTTTAACGGCACGACCAACATGCTACTACTAGAAGCAGTTTTTGATGTGTCTAAAGAGGGGGAAAAGGTGAATTTACTTGGAACAGTCAATGTCAGCGCTGACAGTGTATGGAAGATTGACACCACAGGCACTTGGAAGATCACCAACTCTACTCCAATCAAGTCCTATGATAGTTTCACCAGCAGCTTTCAGGCAAGTGCATGCAGTTTGACGGTCAGTTGTGGTGGTGGCAACGGCCTCTAATTTCTTAACGCCATCGCAGCACGTTCCCAGAAGCCCAGTTTTTGTAAGGAAAGGTACACAATTTTTGAGGTACGCGTCAACCTCAGTGCAAGTTAGGGCTTCTGCGCTGTGCGCAGCTGCCACTATGCACAAAACCACAAAGCATGCAATCTTTCCGGCCATTTCTGTTGTTCGGAGAGAAAGTGATGAAATAATAGAGAGAATTGTAAGAAATAATACTCTTAGTGCTTTGAGTGTATTGGGTACAAAAAACTCTTGGCACCTTAGGGTTTTTATAGGGAAGAGGATTGAGTTTAAGTGGGAGAACTAGTTAATGTTGGATTATTTTATTTATGTATTTGTTTGTTTATATTTTAGTACCTTACGTGCATGGAACTTCCATGAACCATGCATGTTAGGGTTTTTGAGGTTTGGGAAATATAAAAATGAAACCCATGCATAGAGATTTTCGTTTTGTTATTTGTTCAAGAATTCTTTTTGAATTAAATTTCCGTAACTACTTTTGTAGCCAAAATCAAGTCCGAAGAAATAAAATACCCCAAAGAACAATTTAGGCAACAAAAGCGATAGAGAAGGAATTTATCAAACAAGAGAAAGAATATAGTATGAGGCTTTTTTATTTACTCATAAACTCTTGAATCACTCTATATTAATTAGGGGCGGATCTAGCGTTCATTTGCCTGATTCATCTGAATCTGGCTTTCAACGCGGAGTATATATTTATGTGTAAAAATTTACTAAAATAATAATAAATAGTAAATATGAACTCACACCTTTAAAAATATAATGCATTTAAGGCTAAATACTTTAAAGGAAATAATTGAACATACAGAACTTAAATCCTAAATCCGCCTTTGGTCTACATCATAGCTACCTCCCAACCTAAGAAAATCTGTAGTAATACCCGCGTTTATAATACAATAAAATCGAATTTGACTAGAAACTAGCAACATATTCCTACATAACCTTGACAACAAAACCTAATTAGACATGAATTAAATAACTAGCACGTACCAAATCCTAGACAATTTATGATTTGTAATTAATCTTGATTTAATTTCCAACAAAGTCGAATATTGGAGAAACTTCTGATTTGCACAGTTTAATGGGTATTAGTTATGTATGCTCATTTTTTACATCAATAAATTAAATTAAGGATACCTTATTTTTAGGAGATCAGAAAAAGACCATGTGTATAAAGATTTTTGTTGTAGAAAAATCCTCCTTTTCTGGAGATTAAAATACCTGGAAATTGGAATATATAAATCCCTTCAACGTGTAAGCTAAACGAAAGAAACATGCAATAGAGAGATACTGGATGAAATCATTCTCAATTATTTCACTTGGTGGAAAACACTATTAATCGTCCTAATCAGAAATGAACCAAAACTCAAATAAAAGAACTACAGTTTTTTCATTCATCCAATTAGGTGAGCACAGGTGCTTCCTTTTTGGGATTGGCAATCCCTTGCTCAGCGGCATATTCTCCAACACATTGGCTTCGGTGTATTTGGTATAATAGAAATTCTGTTATAAATAGAATTCTATTTACGGTGAATGTCCATATTCAGAGAGATTTTAAGGTTTATTACTTGGTAGCTAAGTCAATTTCTCCCTATAAATAGAGGGTTCTATTCCATTGTAATTCATTCCATATCAATAAGAATTCTCTTCTCTCTACTTTTCTATGCAATACTCTTCTTCTTCTTTTATTGTTTCATAACACGTTATCAGCACGAGACTCTAAACAATTGAGTAGAAGCTTTGGGATCGATCATAATGATTGTCAATTATTCCATGAACTTCCTTCGTGATTAAATTCTGGATTTAAGGTATGTATTTTACCGTATTTTTCTCTTTTATTCTATAATTTGATTTAAAATACAAACGAAGATGATAAATTTTTATTGTAACTCTAATGGAGTTTGAAAGAGATTACAACCATCCAAAGTGGTAAAGTTTCTATGCCTTGCCATGATCAAATTCATGTATGATTATGGGCAAAGAATTAAACCCGTCCCATTGAATTTGCTCCATTCTCATTCCCTTAAGAGAATGTGATAGCAGTATGTGATAAGTCTAAAAGAAGACAAAATTATTACCGTGAAGGTATCAATGGATGTGGATGTGGCAATAGACGAAATTATAATCGCCATCATTGTGATAATGAGAACAATAAGGATTCTCAAAATAATCCTTCACTTTGTGAAAGTAATAGTTGTCATCGATTTGACATGAGATTTTGCAAAGCACATATAGATGATTATGGTCAATTCATGATTTGAATGTGACAACACGTGATTTATGAATACATATTCATTCTTGGAAGAATATAAACGTGTTAGTGGTAGTGAATATACCACGATCACCTCTAGAATGAGGTTTGAGAAGAAATAAGAAAATAATATCATTATTATGGCATGAATGATCACTGACCATGTACCTATTGTACGCCAAAATAAGTTGGTAATGTGATTATTAAAGGACAACAATGATGCAAGAAACAGATCTTGCATATAATTTTGACCATAACCATAATGGTATAACTTTCTCTTTAAAAGAGATATTCACCATATGGATGTTGATGAATATGTGATTGTACCAAATTAATTGAGAGCTCTGGAAGAGCCAATTATTACTATTTTGGAGAAACACAATTGATTACCAATAAAGTATTGTGTTGTAGTAAGTCTCAAAGAAATTTATTCAGTTTCTAAAGTATACGCGAAAGTGGTTGATTATATTGAGACTATAAATAAAGGAAAGATTTAATATCTTCTATTACTACAACTTGTAGCGGGGTACTATGTATGTGAAAAGTTACCCGCTTTATTCTCCATTTTGTACTACACAAAAAAAGAATACCACAATAAAGTAGAAGTTTATTGATATAAAAACTCATATCATAATAAATTTGAAGTTTATTGATAATTGCACACGTCATGGTATAAATCTGAAGTTTATCAATATTGATAATTTATTCAGTTGGCATAATTGGTTTAGCATATCAATTTAAGTATGATGTGCAAAAATAATAGAGAATTCACATGGGTAAATATTAAAGAACTAGAAAGTTCTTTACGAATTCTCTTATATTGCTTGTTCTCATTAATTAATTGACCAACTAAAATTGGGATTGAATCCCATGAATGCTGGAAATATCAAAGGTGAATATGGGCCCATTCACCTGCCATGTATACCACGCAAGATGCATCTATGAGATGGTTACATGTACGATTATTATTAACCTGCAACCTGGTGTTTGCGAGGTAACTGCTCAATAATTTAATTTAGAGCATATTCCAAATTTTTTTATTCAAGATAGTTCATCTTGATAAGTTGGTTTACATCACAGTTGGTTTAGCAAAATAATTTATTGAGTGCCTCCACTTAATAGCTAAACAATTGCTTATGAGTACAAAGTTATCTATATCAGTTTGATATAGGTTATATACAAAAGTATATTACATTCTTCCCTCACAAATGGTTTAGGGTCAAGAACCAAATAATTCCATCTTATTATTATTGATGTGCAGTGTATATTTTGATTAACACCATGACACACAAAGATGGGCTTTCGAAGTTGAGGAAGCAAGTTAGTTTTTCTAACATGAGGGGGGNCAAATCGGTTTCAAATAGCTTCTTGATAAAGAAGATGAGCAAATGATCAAACTGATCATAATAAAGGAGACAAGTAATCTAGAAGATCACATGACATAACACTTCATAAAATCTCATGAGAGATTCAAGTACCTGAATATATGAATGAAGAGATCTCTATGTTATGTCTTTATGAAAAAAATATTGGAACCGATATAAAATGTTCGTCGACGACATCTATGATAGTGCTAAATATAGAATTGGTTTCATATGAAAGACATATAATTTTGTCTATGTTGTTCAAATGCTTGAAAGTATAAAGTCAATGGTATGTGCAATCAGTTTTCGATATCTTATATGTCTAGCATG